TGGTTTTGGGGGTATTGTGGGGATAAATCCAACAGCCTGCATATGGATGGAGCCAGGGGACTAAGAGAAAGGAACTGCCCATTTTGGGATCCTAGCAGAGTCTAGGGCTGTTCGCTGAGAAAGGGAAGAAGGAAGGAGAGAAAAACCATGTTTGGGGGGAAGGAGTCAGAAGTTCAGTTTTGCACATGAGGAGTTTGGGGTTGAGAGCAGGCAGTGGGCCTTGGGGATCCGATGCTCAGTGCTCGATGATGCTCGGCAGAGAGCTGAGGGGCTGGAGGTGTAGCCCCCGGATCAGATTAGCTGAAAGAGGGTTTGGAATGCATGGGATTGATGTGAAGACTAAGGGGAGGGTATAGATTAAGGAAAAGGGGAGGCGACAATGAGACTAGAGGGCCCGTGAGTGGGGTGGGATCCAGGAGAGGTGGGGTCCTGAGGGGGAAGAAGGGGTGGGGGTTGCTTAGTGCACAAGGGAGGACAGAAGGGCCACTACATGGGGCCACGTGGCCAGTGCGGTGTCTCTGACCTTGGCCTTGGTGGAGAAGTGGGCCGAGTCTGGTGAGGGCTCAGGGAAGCCTGGAAGGCAGGAAGTGGGGGCAGTGGGGGAGGGAGACAGGAGACCACAGCTGCGGGGTGTGGAGTGCATGGTTGAGGGAGGCTTTATGACCTTGAGGCATGAGAGGGTTGTTTGAGGGCAGACGAGACGGTGGGTGGAGGGGGAGCTGTAGGAGGGAGGCCTCTGGAAGGTGAGCAGGCAGCCTGGGCTGAGGGAGGGAGGGCCTGGCATGCGCTGTGGTGGGGGTTCCCAGCTGGCAGGAGGACACAGCATCTCGGCTGGAAAACAAAGTGGGGAGGCTTGGGAAAGGGGAGAAGGGCGAGGGGGAGAACTTCCTAAGCAGCAGCTGGAGCTGCCTGGCAGATGGGGCTGCCAGGGGACAGAATCAGGAATTTAGAGGGAGCCTTCTGTTTGGTGATGGGACTTTTCTCTAGCGATTTGCAGCCTGTGGGGCAGACCAGAGAAGTTAGAGGTACCTCCTCCAGCCAGCTGTCCCGCCTGCCCTCTGCTTGGTCAGGCCCTAGGACCTCCCCTTGCCTCCCGCCTCCAGGCCTGGTGCCTGGGGGCTGCTCCATAAGTTGACTGCTCTGCATTCAGACTGCCAGGGAGAGACAGAAGCTGGAAGGAGCCTGGCCTCCCCTCCATAGTCTCTGCTCTGCTCTGCGGTACTGCCCGCCAGCCACTGAGTGCTTTGCTGGGTACCCACCTGAGCCTGTTGTGCTTCTCATTTAGAGCCGCAGGGAGCTTTCTTTACCTCCACTTTACAGAACAGGGTAGTCAAGCCTTGGAGAAGCCCTTCAGCTCTCCCCCAACACACAAAGAAAGGAGCGTTTAAGTGGGAGCCCTTGGCCTGTTACTCAGGTTGTACGTGGGGTCACGTGTCCAGTGGGGAAGGTGGCCTCTTGAGAAGGGGAAGCAGGGAGATGGGCTGTGAGCATCAGGACACACTGGTGACAAAAGGGGGCCATCCCCACTGGGGTACCATTCACGGTAGGATATCCTTGGCCTCTTAGAATGAAAATGGCACTGCTTGGGGTCAGGGGAGTTTTTAATCTATATCTGGTGAAAGCGTTTTTCATTTATTTATTGTTATTTTTTTTAAGATTTTATTTATTTGAGAGAGAGCACAAACAGGGGGGAGGGCTTAGACGGAAAGGGAGAAGCAGATTCCCCGCTGAGCAGGGATCCTGGGACTCTGGGATCATGACCTGAGCCGAAGGCAGACACTTAACCGACTGAGCCACCCAGGCGCCCCTATTTATTCATTTGTTTGTTTGTTTGTTTATTTATTTTTAAAGATTTTATTTATTTATTTGACAGAGGCACGGTGAGAGAGGGAACACAAGCAGGGGGAGTGGCAGAGGGAGAAGTAGGCTTCTCACTGAGCAGGGAGCCCGATGCGGGGCTCGATCCCAGGACCCTGGGATCAGGACTGAGCAGAAGGCAGACGCTTAGGGACTGAGCCGCCCAGGCGCCCCTATTTATTTTTAATGGAAGTATAGTTGACAATACAATACTGGTTTTAGGTGTATGGCATAGTGATTTGACATTCGTATACATTATAAAATGCTCGCCACGATAAGTGTAGTCCCTGTCACCACACTGTTATTACAGTATGATTGACTATCTTCCCTAAGCTGTACTTCCCATCCCCGTGACTTACTGATCTTATAACTGGAAGTTTGCACCTCTGAGTCCCCTTTACTTATTTTGCCCATCCCCATACCCCTTTGCCCTCCGGCAACTACCAGTTTGTTCTCAAAACAGGCTGTTCCTGTTTTGCTTTTTTAGATTCTACATGGAAGTGAAATCATATATTTGTCCTTTTCTGTCCGACTTATTTCACTTAGCATAACATTTTCGAGCTCCATAGTGTTGTGGCAAATGGCAAGATTTCATTCTTCTTTATGGCTGAGTAATATTTCATTGCGTGTATCTACCACCTCTTCTTCATCCATTCATCTATTGGTGGCCACTTTGGGCGCTTCCATCTCTCGGCTATGGCAGGTAATGCTTTGGTGAACATAGGTGTGCATGTATCTTTTTTAAATTAGTGCTTTCATTTTCTTTGGGTAAATACCCTGAAGTGGAATTACCAGATCATATGATAGTTCTTTTTTCTTTCTTTCTTTCTTTTTTTTTTTTTTTAAGTAATCTCTACACCCACTGTGGGGCTCAAACTCACAACCTCAAGATAAAGAGTCCCATGCTGCACCCACTGAGCCAGCCAGGTGCCCCTGGTAGTTCGATTTTTAACTTTTTTGGGACCCTCCATACTGTTTTCCATAGGGGTAGCCCTGATTCACATTCCCACCAGAAGTGCACGAGGTTCCTTTGTCTCCACATCCTCGCCAACCCTTGTTATTTCTTGTCTTTTTGATACCAGCCATTCTGACAGATGTGAGGTGGTATCTCATTGTGGCTTTGATTTCATGTCCCTGAGGATGAGGGACGTTGGGCCTCTTCTTTTTTTTTTAAGATTTTATTTATTTATTTGTCAGAGAGAGAGAGAGAGAGAGCGCACGCACAAGCAGGGAGAACAAGAAGCAGAGGGAGAAGCAGGCTCCCTGCTGAGCAAGGAGCCCGATGAGGGGCTCGATCCCCGGACTCTGGGATCATGACCTGAGCTGAAGGCAGACGCTTAATGACTGAGCCACCCAGGCGCCCCTGTGAAAGCATCTTTAATCTGATTCAGGTGACCCTGGGATGTAGTCAGTCCTTAACAGATTTGGTGCCTCCTCACAGCGTCACGCGCATGGCTCCTCCCCCCCCCCACCCCGTGCCTGCCCCCTGCCCTGAATTTCACTCACCCAGGACCTTGAACATCCTGTTCAGATGGTGAAATGCCCTTCCCCGCCCTGGCGACCTCCCATTTCTCTTCGGAGTCTCCCTGAAGCCCCTGGCCGGGGCTTCCTGCTACCTCCCCTCCCGCCCCCTGAGCGTCCTCAGAGCTTGGATGGCTTGCCTGATTGTGGAGCGCTCAGCCTCTCCTCTGCTGGCTTGTAGGTTCCCCAAGGGCCAGGACCACGTCTGCCTTAGTGAGTGTTATGTCCTTGTACCGTATGCAGGACTTGTGCGTCGTAGGCGTTAATGGAAGAGGGTGGGAAGCGGCTGCCAGAAAGTGTAATTCTGGCTTGAGCCACAGCTGAAGCAGATTTGGGGTGCTATGAGCCTTTTATAATCACCCCAGCCATAATACTGAGCTGGGACTGTGAGCCAGGCCCTTTCCCTGCTCCTCGTGCATCCTTGAGGGACAGAGGCTTTGGATGGACTGGCTTCTGCAGGGTCGAGGGCATGTGTGGAGGACCCCCCTGTCTCTTGAACACCTGCCCTTTGAGGCCTTTTCCACAGAAGCCTCCAGGAGGCAAACCCTTCCTCTCCCACCACGTCCCCTAGTTGCCTTCCCCCCCATGTCTGCATATTTTCTGATGCTTTTTGAATTCCTTGAGTGGCCTTTGCTGTTTGTTACCCACCCGCCAACAAGTGGTGAGTGAGGGCTGCTCCATCTGGGGAGCATGTGGTCTAGGGGAGCAATGGTGGGCTGAGAGCCTGGGTGCCTGGTGGCCTGAGGCCGGCAGAGGGAACCCGCGAGCCAGAAGCCTGGGCCGCTTGTGGGAAGCCTTGGAAGGGGGCTCCGTGCCACCCAAAGGGAAGACCAGGCCCAGGGAGCAGGGAGACCAGGCCAGGTGGACCCAGAGTCTGTGAGCAGATGGGGGTGCCTGGCTCCCCACTCACCATCTGTATGACCCTCCGTTTCCTCATCTGTAAGATGGGGACAATTACCACTGCTCCCTTGGTGCACACTGGGAGAAGCCAGCCGGGCACCTGTCTGTGGGGAACTCTCTTCCAGTGCTGGGGGGCAGGGCAGGGGAGGCTGCGAACAGGCACCAGATCTGCTTGGTTCTTTGGCTTTCTGAGGATGTTTGTCCCGTCCCCCGTGTCCTGCTGCCTACAAATAACCATGGTGATGATGTAACCCATTGAGGATGTAACTGATAATATAACTCGTCCAGTGCCACCAACCTATTTTCCTTATATGCATTGAGTAAGCATGAAATTATTCCACAAGGAGCCTCTTAATCCCCACTCTATAAATGAAGAAATCAGGGGCCCAGAGGCGTGGACACAGCCGGAAAGGGGCAGAGTTGAGTTCTGAACTCAGGTCTGTGGTACCTGAGAGATGCCCTGTGTCTCCCTGGGCCTCAGTTCCCCTCCTGAACAAAGAGGGCCCGGCAGGATGGTCTAGGGGCCTCTGGCTCTAACAGCCCCCGCCCCCATCACGCGCCTGTGGGAGGGGTGGACGTGGAGGGCTGGCTTGCATCCTTGGACGAGGTGAGAGTCCCAATGAGGAGGGGAGAGATACAGGGGGTGGGAGAAGCCCCCTGGACCGCTCTGATCCCTTCCCGCCTTGACCCTCCTTCCTGCCTGCCCCACCCCACCCCTGTAGCATTTCTGAAGGGCCTGAGTGACAAGCAGCGGGAGGAACATTACTTCTGCAGGGACTTCATCAGGCTGAAGAAGATCCCGACCTGGAAAGAGACGGCAAAAGGTAGGCTGTGTGCCAGGGAGGGGCAGGTGGGTGGCCTCTTCAGACCCGTGTCCTGGGAGCATCATACCGACTAGGCCAAGAAGAATGGCAGCAGCATTCGCGGGGTGCTTGCTGTGCAGGGGGCACTTTAAGTGTGAACCTGGTCTGAGGAGGGTTCGGTTTTTATCCCCATTGTACTGTTGGGAAACTGAGCGCCAGAGCCATGACCGCACAGTTGTGGGGAGCCCTGCACATTGCGGGCCTGGCAACCTGTCACCCAGGGCGAGTCACTTCACCTGCCTAGGGCTCAGTTTCCACGTCTGTAAAGTGGGGATGGATGACTTTAATGCTGTACCTGTGCTTAACTTGGGAAGATTCAAGGGGACCCCGTGTGTGTCTTGTGCGAGAGGTACTTAATCACTGTGGATGGCCGCTGCCTGTGTCACCAGTCCCCTGCCTCTGGAGGTGGAGGGGGGTGGATGGAGGCCCTGGTGGGTCACTCTGTAGTGAGGGCCTCTCTCTGACCCCCCACCCCTCGGGCCTCTGCTTGTCCAGGGGTGACCGCGAAGGTGGAGGAGCCGAAGTACAAGAAGGATAAGCAGCTCAACGAGAAGATCTCCCTGTTCCGAGGTGACATCACCAAGCTGGAGGTGGACGCCATCGTCAACGCCGGTGAGTGGGCGCTTCTGGCTGGTGTGAACCAGAGACCTGGGTGGCCGCCTCGTCCCCTTTGCTCCAGGCTGCTGTGCCAGGCATGGGTGGACGCCACCTGGCTCCAGCGAGGCTCGGGCGGCCAGAGGAAGATGGCTTGCTGGCGCCACAGGAACCCAGTGTGTTGGCTGCGCGGACTCCTTTCCCTTGAAACTCTGACCTATGTCGGGGGCGCCTTGGCTGAGCTGCCTTGCAGCTCTGAGACCCATTAGCGGCCGGGAAGGGAGAGAGCTTGGCTGGAATTGCGCCGGGCTGCCCTGCCAGCAAGGTGGAGGCCAGAACAGGGTGGTCTGACCTCAGGGGCTGCCGACACCCCACCACTGCTCTCCCTTCTCTGCCTCCTGCCTGCCATGCCCCCCTGCACACCTGGGGCAGGCCAGGGAGTTTGTCAAGGGAATGGTGGGGGCAGAGGCCCCGGTGCCCTAGGCTCAGCTTCCCGCTGTGGCTCTAGCTGGCTTGGCAGTTTGTGATGAGTGGAGGAGCCTCCTCTTCTCTCCCCTCCTGGGGGCAGGAGGAAGGCGGTTGCTGTCCTCCCAGGCTGTGGCTGTCTGGCCGAGGTCAGGAGTGGGGTGTCAAGGGACAGTCCAGTCCATTTGGTACACAGGCGGTTCGTGGACAAGGACCAGCGGGGGCTGAATCCCAGCCCTTGTTCGCCTGCTTACCAACCTTCACGGGGAGGAGCTTCCTTAGAGAAATGTTTGGAGACGTGGGCAGAGCCTCTCATCCTGGGAAACCTCGCTGCACTGCCACCTCCCCACCTGTGCGGTCTCGGGCACCCCGCCCCCCCAGGAGCGTCTCAGACCTCCTCCACCTTGCCCTTGGGCTGGCGGCCATTGTGTCTGACCCCAGGGCTGGCTAGGGAGCCGTGTGTTGCCGAGTGCCCTGGGGACGCGGCAGAGCTGATGCTCTTCTCGATAAGGGGCTGGGCTCACGGGACCTGGGGAGAGGGAGCCACTCGGCCTGCCCCAGGCCTGCTTGTCGCGGTTTGGATTGCCTTTCTGGCTGTGGCACGGCTCTGCGTGTCTCTCTGCCTGTTTATGCGGTCACACAAGTGCCTCCTTCCCCCCACACTGCCTGTCTCGGTGCACAGGTGACCAATGACATAAGGGCGGAGTCCCGACTTAGGGCAGAGGGAGCTTGGTCCCCTTTGGTTTCTGCTGGTGCTCCTGCTGTGTTTCTCTCGGGGCCGCTAGGACCGGGTGGGGGGCTGCCAGCAGGCCTGCGCGTCCGTCTGGGGAGACGTGGGGTTAAGACGAGCCTCGCTGGCTTGGCAGATGTCACCGAGGCCCGGAGGAGAAGGGCCTTCTTGCTGCCTGGCTCCAGGAGGGGCTGGTCTGGGGCGGGGGCGCTAAGCCTTGGAGCCGAGGCTGAGGATTCCATCCTGCAGGCCTGTGGGGCTGCTCTCCTGCGTGCCCGAGGCCCTGTCCGTCACTGGCGAGGGATGAGAGGATCCCCTGCCCATCCTTTTCTTGATGAGCTGCAAAGTGGCCAGAGGGAAAAGTGGGGCATCTTATCAGCCCCTTCCCAGCTGGGCTGGCAGTTAACAGGCCAGGAGGGAGGGGTGGAGACCAAGGTAGGGATGCAGTAGGAGCAGGGCGGGGGGGGGGGGGGAGCTCCGGAGGCTTGCATGTACGGCTGTGGGCGGGATTCTTGGTTTTTCTAAGTGTCCTTGTGCCTGGCCAGACTCCTGAGTGCAGTGGCTGTCAGCCCCTCTCGCTCTCAGAAGAGCACTTTGGTCCTGGCTGCATACGGCGGCACTGGGTTGGGGGTGGGAGCGTTCGCTGTATCTCTCCGGGGACTCCTTGTCCGTGTACGTGCCTGGGCTCCCGTCTCTCCTTCTGCAGGGTATGGATGGTGGAAAACCCACCCGCTGGGTTGTCAGGGGCATTAGGGACTTCCGCGCGTAAACAGTGGTGCTCATGCAGCCCCTGGCACGGACCAAGGCCTCATCCCCTGCCTCTGTCGCTGGTGCTAGAATCGATGCCCCTGTCATCACCCTGGGTATCAGCCCTGTCCCAGGAATGTCAAGGGATGCTGGGCGCCTTCTGCAGAGGAGCAGCTTTCATCTCTCCCTGCTTGCCTCAGTTTACCCAACACTTCTTGGTGTGTTTCCCTGGGCTCTGCCTTTTTTCTAGAGTCTCACAGCAGGGAGGACCCAGAACCCGTGTGGAACCTCAGGGAACGGCTGAGGCAGGCCCTGGCTGTGGGGCTCCATACAGAGCCAGCTTCCCCTCTGGGTCCTCCCCCCAGGCCTTTTCCTGGCACCGGTGTTCCGGCGGCCTCGCCACTGGTCAGACCCCAGGCGTCCTTGGTGGTCTTGGCCTGGAGCCCCACACCCGGAGTCCTCCGGCCTCCTCCCTGGGCTCTCCCCCGTGGCCTTGGTCAGCCCCTGCCTGCCGCCCACCAGGGGGCAGCAGAGATCGCGGTTTCCGCGCCCGGTGGCGCCCGTAAATCAGCCTGTTTATTAGCAGAATAAAAGTCGCGGCAACGTGGGGATTTTCGCGGCTGCATAAAATCTGGTCTGTGCCTCGTGAAACCCATATGTGCTTAATTCATATGTAAAGTTTCAAGCAGGAAGAGAATACGTGTCCATTAAATTCTATTTGACTTGATTATAATCATTAGCCATGAATAATTGCTTCTCAGCACCGACCACAGAGCCACCACAATGGGGAAAAAGAGCGAGCAATTATAGCGGGGTGGGAATTTTTAAATTTTTATTTTTGAAGCTAAGGGCAATGTTGGTCCCGTGGGGAGCGGTGTGGGTAGGACTGGGCTGGGGACTTGAGGTCAGCTTTGGACTTTCTGTATTTTCTCTGTGTGTGGGGGTGTGTGTGTCTTTTTTTGTCCCTATGAGTAGATGGGGGCAGGGGCAGGCACAGGGAAGGTGCCATCGCTGGCTGGGCCTCCCTCCAGCTACAAGGACCATGGCGGGGGAGCTGGGAGGGGCCTGTAAGGGAAAAGGAGGGTTGGGATCCCTAGAACTCCCACCATCCTGCAGAGCTGTGGGCTTGGGGTATCTCCGGCCTGGCTGCAAGCTCCCTTCCCACCCATTCAGAGGACCCTGGGGGACCCTTGGGGATGGCAGGTGCCAGGTACCCTCCGTGCCTGCCTGCCTCCTTCCCTCCCCACGGAGCCACTCTGCCCACAGTCCCTCTCAGGACTTTGGGAAATCAGACTGTTTACCAACTGGTCCTCTGGCTTTTGAAGTCCAGACCTGCTTTTTACCCCACTCTGTTGGTGTTTGAGATGTGATTGGAGCGTATGTGTACTATGTGTGGTGTCTGTGATGGTGGGTGTGTGTGGGAAGTGAGATGTGTGTGTGTGTGCGCGCGCGTGTGTTGTGATGAGAAGTATGTCATGTAGTATGTGGAGGGGCGCTGGGGCAGAGAGTCTAGTGGGGGAATGCCGGGCAGGTGGGTGGCACGGTTGGAGGTCACAGGGGCAGGACCAACCCCCCAAGCACCCAGGTGCAGCGCAGGCGGCCTTGGGCCATCCTTGGCTGTGTTTTCATGGGCTGCCGCTGAGGCTGCATGCTCGGGCAGTACCCAGAGAGTCTCAGGCTCCCGCCATCTGGTAGCCGGCAATGGCTCCTACCCATGGGGGCACGCTGCATCCATCTTAATTAAATTGGGCTGCCATGCTGGCAAGATAAACCAGGGAGCCCCCTACAGGCCCCTGTTCTGGAGCAGAAGATTCTCAGGGGCAGTGCTTGCTGCTCCGGGTTGGCCTACGACCCCCCAGGTGTGGTGTCTGGGGGGAGCCATGCCAGGCATCTCCTCCAGAGAAAGCTCAGGTCTGGGGGTCTCCATCCCGGGGAGGGGGGGTGCCTCAGCTTGTGGAATGCTTCCATCTTCTCATTGCCATGGGGGGGGTCATGACCTTGACTGGGCCACTTCCTTGCCCTTGACGTTCCCAGCTCACCAGGCCTGTGCCTGTGGGTCACTAGTTTTTGGCAGACAGCTGAGTCCCAGGCAGGAAATGTCCCAGCACAAAGAAAGACCCCCATTCTTGGCAGTCCCAGGGTCTGGCTGCCAGCTGTGGCCTTCAGGGCCTAACGGGACAGAGCAGGGATGAATGTGATGCTTTGTGCCAACAGAAGGAATCTTTCCCTTCAAAGCCACCCCAGGCCAGCGAGTCAGGGCCCTGGGCACAGAGGCCAGGAGCTGATTTGTTGGAAATCCCAGTATTCCTGCTGGTGGCGCAGTGGCCTCCGGCCAGGCAGCTCCAAGCCTCTGTTTCCTCATCTGGAAAATGGACCAGCCTCGGCCCCACCCCACCCAGGGTGGGCGTGAGGGCAGCACGAGTTCAGGCGCATCCAGTGCCGGGCCCAGGGCCTGGCACACAGCGAGCCCCTAGTAAATTGTTATCGGGAAGTCAAGAGTAAGAGCAGCTAAGTAGAATATAATGTGACAAAGCCCTGGGAGCGAGGTTTGAACAAAGTGCCATGCGACGCCTCAGGGACCAATTAATTCTGCCAGGAGGTGGCGGGAGGCAAGGCAGGTCAGTGAGGCCTTTGAGGGGCTAGGCATGCGGGCCAGGACGTGCAGAACGGGTGGGAAGCCATGTTTCACCGCGACAAGCCGGCCTCACTGGGAGTTTTTAAGCCGCTTATTTATTTAAAATAAGGCATGAAGTGGCGCTCTGTTTGCTTAAGTCTTGGGTCTTTGATTTTCGAAAATCTTCCAGCCGGTTATCACTCCCTTCTCCTCATGAGCCAGCCCCCATCCTCCCTTCATCCCTTCCTCCACTGCCTGGGCCCCCCCGCCCCCAGGAGCCCAGCCCCAGCCGTCCCTGGGCCACCGCTTGCTCGGAGTCCATGATTTAGAGACCGCCTTGATGGACTAGCGAGCAGAAGGGGCCGAGAGACGCCGGCTGCCTTGTGGGAAGCGATCTGACGCTAAACTGTCGCCGTAAATCGCTTTATCTGTCACTTCAGATTTAAATGTGTTTGCTGAGGC